AGTTAAACCGAGAGAAAAAGAGGGACCACCGATACTGTCGGGGGTTGAGTCTCTTTGCCTCCCGCAGGTACACAAGGTTCTTGTGGTCAGTCCAAATGACAAACGGCTTTTCCGCTCCCTCCAACCAGTGTCTCCACTCTTCGATGGCCAGCTTGACCGCCAGTAACTCCCGGTCTCCAACATCATATCTGCTCTCAGCCGGCGTGAGACGGCGTGAGAAGAATGCGCAGGGATGCAAGCGGTGGTCAGATGGAGCAACCTGCGACAGGACTGCCCCCACCCCAGTGTCAGAGGCATCCACCTCCAGGGTGAATTGCAGTTGGGGATCTGGTCTGTGGAGCACTGGGGCTTCAGTGAAGCGTCTCTTTAGCGCCTGAAAAGCGGCATCCGCTTCGGAGGACCAAACAAAAGGTCTCTTAACAGAGGTGAGTGAGGTGAGAGGAGCGGCAGTCTGACTATAGTTCCTTATGAACCTTCGGTAAAAGTTAGCAAAGCCTAAAAACCTCTGCAACTGTTTTCTGGAAGTGGGTGTGGGCCACTCCAGAACTGCCCGTACCTTCTCTGGGTCTGCCTTGAGCTTTCCACACTCAATCACAAAACCCAGGAACTTTACCGTTGGAACATGGAACTCGCACTTCTCCGCCTTCAAGTACAAACGGTTCTCCAGCAGCCGCTGCAGAACCGCTCTAACATGCTGAACGTGCTCAGTCTCAGTCCTGGAAAAAATAAGGATGTCGTCTAGGTAGACAGTGACAAACTTATTTAAATAATCACCCAAAACAGTGTTTACAAGAGTCTGGAAAACAGCGGGTGCATTGGTCAGTCCAAATGGCATAACTAAATATTCAAAACGTCCCATGGGTGTCTTAAAAGCTGTTTTCCACTCATCACCCTGACGGATACGCACTAAATGGTATGCGTTTCTGAGGTCCAACCTGGTAAAGATCACCGAGTCCTGGATGGGCTCGAAGGTTGATGACAGCAGGGGTAAAGGATACTTGTTTTTCACAGAGATCTGATTCAGTCCTCTGTAATCGATGCAGGGCCTTAAAGTTCCATCCTTCTTGGGCACAAAGAAAAACCCGGCTCCCAGAGGTGACGTAGAAGGACGGATTGTGCCAGCAGACAAGGCATCCTGAATATAAGTCTCCATGCTCTCCCTCTCAGGCTTCGAAAGTTGGTACAGCCGGCTAGAGGGTAAAGGAGCTCCGGGCAAAAGGTCAATCGAACAGTCAAATGGACGGTGAGGTGGCAGAGCCGAAGCTCGAGTCTTACTGAACACTTGCCTGAGATCGTGATATGCTGGGGGAACGGCAGACAGATCAATCTCCTCCTCCAAGGGCGTTGGGTGGCAGCGAGGGGAAGGGGATACAGAACGCAGACAGTTCTGCGAGCAGTTGGGGCTCCAGCCCGTGATTTGGTTCCTGCTCCAGTCCAGTTGGGGGTTATGTAGTTCTAGCCAGGAATGACCGAGCACCACAAGGGACTGGGGAGAAGGAAACACAAAAACTCAATTTGCTCGGTATGGTTTCCTGATACCTGGAGATGAAGAGGAAGCGTCTTGTGAGTGATTGAGGACAGATAACGTTCATCCAGAGATGTGACGGAGAGCGGAGGGTTCAGCCGGATGGTGGGTATGTTCCACCTCTTCACCAACCCAGCATCCAGCAGGGAGCGCTCACATCCAGAGTCCACAAGAGCCTCCAGCTGGATCTGTTTAGAATCGACCATGATAGAACAAGGAAGGGTAAAACGGGGAACTGCAGAACTAGAATTACCGCCCACCAGTAGTCCCCTGTTTACGGGTGGACTCTGCCTTTTAACTGCGGACAGCTTCTAGCAAAATGACCTGGCTCACCACAGTACATGCAGAGACCTGACCTTAACCGGTGTTGCCGCTCCTCTTGTGTCAGTCTGTTCCTTCCCATCTGCATTGGCTCCTCGGGGGCGTGGCTCTCAGGAGGCGATCGCTGAGCAGCCTGTCTGGGGCGGTCAGAAAACTGGGATTCATTGTAACGGGCGCTGGGTCGTCTTAATTCCTGGTGACGGCGGTCGATAGAAATGGCCAGACGTATCAGCTCATCTAGGGAGCGAGGCTCGGGACAAAGAGCAAGTTGATCGCGGACACGATCATTCAAGGCCTCAGTAAAAGCCGCAATTAAAGCGTCCTCGTTCCAGGAAGTTCTGGCTGCAAGGGTTCGGAACTCAACTGACATCTCAGCTACGGATCTGCGCCCCTGAGAGAAGGACCAGAGCTGCTTCCTGGTGTCCGCTAAGGATTCAGTAACACCAAAAGTCAGGGTAAACTCAGATAGAAAATCAGCATATGAGCCGGTAAGGAAAGAGTCATTGTGGCTCTTGGCCTCAGCCCATCTTAAAGCTCTGCCTCTTAGAAGTCCAATCACATAAGAGATCTTAACGGAGTCCAACGTAAAAGCTCCTGGTGAGCGCTCAAACGCCAAACGGCATTGTAACAGAAAACTCCGACAGTCCTCGAACTCACCACTATACGTGACTGCAGGTGGAGAGGAAGCCAGGGGGAAATGATTCATCTCCATATGCGCGGATCCAGGTGCAGCGGAGGCAAGCGGAATGGAAGGTTGGGATTCTGCTGGAGAAGGCTGTTGGGGAAGCCGATCATGGATCTGTTGAACTAAACTCTCCAAATACTGATAGCGGGCATTGGCTGCGGTGAGTTGTTCCACGAGTTGAGGTATGACTTGTTCCTGCTGTGAAAGTCTGTGGGAGAAACTGGTCAGTGCTGCGTCTGCGGGGTTAATATTCTGGCCGGAAGATTCTGTCATGGTTGGGGGAAGGTAACTAACCCAAAACATGCAGAACACAACACTGACCAAGAATGGATGAAAAAAAAAAGATTTATTTAAAGGGGAACTTAAGATGCACAGATAATTCTGTGGTTGAAACTGCAACAATCAGCTCGGCGTCTGGAGGAGGGAGAACACGGGTGAGCAAAGGTTCTGGTGTCACAATCCTTTGTAGGCAGGCAGAGGTGTTCAGCAGACTTACTGTGGTGGGAGTTTGTGTTGGCAGGAGGAGGGAGAGGTAGAGAGCCGGGGAAGCGCAGGAGAGGGAGCAGAGGTGGAGATAAGCGGGGCGTCCTGGTGGATGGGGCACTGGGTGAGATGAGAGGTGGGTTATGGCGGTGGTGATATGGTCCGTGTGCTGAAGATCCAAAATCCTGGTAGAGGTCAGAATCCAAGGAGGTTGACAGGAATCCTGAGGAAGGGTAAATCCAATATGAGCGCAAACACTACGAATAACATTTAACCTAAGAACACTAGAGATCTCACGAGTGGCTGGTTACTACCAAAACTGAGGCAATCTTCCGGTGTCGAAGTGTGTCCACCATCCACCTTAAATAGGAAGGCACCCCGCTGATTGCTGATCAGGAACAGCTGGGCCACTCCCTCTCCTGGCAAGAGACTCACAGATGGTTATGAGAACAGGAGTACTCACCCCGGCTCATGACAGACATTTTCTCCCATCACATTACTTGTTGCCCCTGAGTCTACGATCATTTTTAGCTCCACTCCCCCCACACAGAATGTTAGTCTCTGGCATGTCATCTTCTTTGATAATAAAGGCATAATCTGGCCTTTCTTCTTTTACCACGTTCATATTTTTCTGTCTTGTTGCTTTTGCGCGACACACTTTTGCAAAGTGGTCTCTCCCTTGACATTTTCAGCATGTCTGTCCTCTGGTTGGACATTTGGGGTCTTTTCCTATATGATCCGTGTACCCACATCTGTAGCCAACACATTCTCACACCCAAGCCTCAATATGTGATGATTCGGGATGCCCCAGTGCGTCAGGAGACGATGATCAGGGACACGCAGGGACACGTGTCTCCACTGGCATCAGTGTTTGATGCCCGCGGTCACACAGACATTATTTGACTATTTAACCTAATGTATTATTTAGTCTGGCAACACTCCATTGACGGCTCTCGGTTGTGGGGCGGGTTCTACCGTTGTCTTTCAAATGATCTCCGCATTCCACTGGACAATGAATGTGACATACTCTTGTTTCACTCTGTTGCACCATCCCACCCACCAGGCATATAGAGTGCCCTGATTGGCCCACAAAGTGGATAAAGCTCTGTGATTTGTTCAATAAGCAGATAGAGCACTATGATTGGCCCACCATTATGGACCAATCACAGCTCTTTATGTGTTTGAAACCCCTCTAGAGAGCTGTGATTGGCTAGCCAGAGTCCTGGTAGGAGCTGTGGAGGTTCCAATGGAGCGTGCCTAGATCAAACTTTGCAAAGCAAGAATTTGGTCTAGTTCACTAGGCTACCAGAGCACCGCTTCCTGCCATAAAGGACATCTAAAGGAAGCAGTGTCTGAAAAGGGCTAGGAAAATCATCAGAGACCACAGTCACCCATCAGATGCACTGATCACCCTGCTGCCCTCTGGGAGGCGCTACAGGAGCCTCCGGACTAAGACCACCAGGTACCGGAACAGTTTCTTCCCAACAGCTGTCAGACTCATGAACTCTGCCTCCTGACATATGACCCACTTTAAACTCATGGACTGCTTGTATTAACTACAGCCTGTACATACTTATAGTCATAGAATATTCATAACATACTTCATACCGTGTACATTATAACATACGTAAATGATCCATTTCTGTAATATACTTACACATCTATATTATTGCAAATATATATTGCAATACATCTATATCACGGCCAAAGCACTTTCTGGATGGATGCAAACTGCATTTCGTTGCCCTGTACTTGTACATGTGCAATGACAATAAAGTTGAATTCTATTCTATTCTATAATAAGCAATGGATCTACAAGCTGCTTGGTAAACAGTCAATGAGGTAATCAGGTACATCTACACTTCCACAGAATGAGCCAATAAAATAATTGTTTGGGGAAAAAATATTGTCTACAAGTGGTCACGCAGGAGTTATTTTTATTATTACAATATTAAAATCAAAATAAAACTTTTTAAAGTATAAATTTATAAATTGAACATTTTCCCCTTTTTTTCTAGTGGATTAATCTGACTTGTTTGTTTCTGTTTATTTACAGAAGAGCCCTTGAAAGCCACAGTGAGTGTTTTTCCCTAATATCACACAATGTCTTTAATCTGGTCTGGAACAGCTGGCTGTGTTTTGTTCTTTGAACCAAGAGGATGGCTGAGTCCCATTGCATCCCCCTGGGCTTTGAGGAGTTGTTGATGTTCCCACTGGGGGCAAACAGAGAAAGCGCATGTAGCAGGATGGTGCACAAGACCTGCAGAGGGGTAAAAGGCTAGCTCCCCAGGCCTGTGGTGGAAAACGTTTAGCTGCCTCACTGGTGCACTGTACAGACTATGAAAAGAGGGATGGGGGGGCAAAGAGGAATAATGCTGAAAGTGTGGGAGATGGGGTGAGAGGAAGGGGTGTGTTAGAGTGGAAGGTGCAGGAGAACGGCCAATCAGAAGGGCCCCCAGTGGATCGATGAGTGGGTGAGTCCATGGCGAGGTGTGTCTGTGTCGTTTATCCTTCATCCTTCTGTTTTGAAACCAAACCTGAAAAGTGCAAAAGACAGAAAATCATTTTAAAAATGGAATACTGCACCATTGTCAAAGATGACGAGAAAAAGAATGGAAACCAAAAGAAGTCAAGAAACACAAAACCACACACACACACACACACACACACACACACACACACACACACACACACACACACACACACACACACACACGCGCACACACGCACACACGCACACACACACACACACGCACACACGCACACACGCACACACACACACACGCACACACGCACACACGCACACACACACACACACACATACACACACACACACACACACACACACACACACACACACACACATACACACACACACACACACACACACACATACACACACACACACACACACACACACACACACACACACATCTTTTAGTGACTCCACTCCATTATGCCTAACCCTAACTCTACTCATAACCAATGGTGCCATTGAACAGCCTACGCACCAAGATAGTGGAAGTTCTTGGGGATTCGGTCTGCAAGCAAAGCCACCTCTGCAGAGCAAGTGAGTGGACCTCTGATGTATCTGATGGTCGCAGGGCCCCCTCAGAAAAGCACGACTGGTCGAAAAGACACTTCCCAGGTGGCTTCTTGCGGACGGTTTTACGTCTGATGAGTTGGTGATTGGATGAGCAAATATTGATTCAAAAAATATTGTCCTTAAAGCCGCTAAAATTATTCCATTGAAAGATTTGGTTTAATCCCCCAAAGGGTGGCTTAGCATAAACTGTAGTTTAGCATAAACTGCAGAAGCTGGAGCATGGCTGGAACTGGGAAATATAGGAAGTGATTGCTCTTTTAATGTTCGTTGTTTATAAACTTTGAACCAACCACATCTGAGAAATTTTTATAGGTGTTTTTCAAGAGTCCAAAAACACTATCCTTTCTGAGACGCTTAGAAAGCTTATTTTGTTTAACGGAGACATATCATGCTTTTAAATTCTGTCTTTTTAAATCTAAATCATTCAGCTGGGGTCTAAATACAGTGGAACTGCAGTTCTTTGGTCTGATTTTCTCATTATTGTTGCTCTACAAACCCCTCATCTACCCCTGTTCTGAGGAGAGTCTGAGAATGAGCAGTATTTTGATACTGTCTCTTTAAATCTGGAGAAGGAGCTGCAAACACCACCCCCCTCCACAGAGCAGACCTACTCTCCTCACCCAGTCAAACTTTATAGTTCTATAGAGAAATCATTATTCAGCATAGCAGAAACGTTTTATAGGGAGCCTAAGTCACTTCCACATCACGGGTCCCCGGAAGAATGAAAAAATGAATGCAAGTCAACGGAGCTAAAAACGCTATTTTCTAATTCCAATTGTTTTGTGCCATGGATTTCACATATGATGTCCGCAAATTTTAAAGACGCATTTTGATACCAAGAACGTGCTTATTTTTGAACGGGGGGTGGGTTGGGGGGGGTGGGGGGGTGGGGGGGGGGGGGGCACGCTATTTAAGTTTTGTGTGAAAGTAAGTCCAGGACTACTAATGTGATTCACCATCGAACCAGACACGGAGAAAACTGAGGGAAAGGGCTGTAAGTTTAGCAAACTTCCCACAGGATGAAAGAACCACCATTTATCTGGTCATGTGGTGAGTAGCAGCTATGCTAGGGGAGAGGAGATTATGTGGTGACGATTTCTGGTGTGTAGTCATGCTAATTACGAACTTTTACAAGCTAATAAATCTCAAAGTACGTGTCTGGCGTCGTCAAAACACAAACCATTACTTTCCATTTGAATATAAGTACAACATATGTGTGATCCAGGGCATAAAGCAAAGTGTATTAGAAAACAGCATTTTTAGCCCCGTTGACTAGCATTCATTTCTTCATTCTTCCAGGAACCCATGATCCGACCGGAAAGGGAGGAGACTTAGGCTCCCTATTCAGTAGAGGTGTAACGGTTCACGTGGGAGTGTTGAACTGCCTGTTCGGTTCAGTCCGCTTGCGTACCGTTCGGTTTATTTTTCCATTAAATAATGAATTTTATTTGTGTGATTTAAGTGCAGCTGATAACAGTTCTTAGGCGGGTTTCCGCACAGACGCTGTATTGAGTGACGTATGATGGCTGCACACGCATCGATTTCCGTTAAAAAAAAGTGATCTGCAAATTCTGATGAACGCCTTTCAGAGCGGATCAAACCAGCTAGCTGTCACCACTACTAGAGCCTGTAGAGACACTGAATGGACCGTTGCATCGCCAAAAATGTAAACAAACACGTCTGCTGAACGACCCAATGTTCCTGAATCATTCTGATGTATCATGTCATATTTGAAGATTTTTTGTTGGGATTAACCCTAAAGAAGGAACAAAATGTACCTCCAAAGTTGGCAAGAACAGAAAGACTGGATCTATGGTGAACGTTTAGATCCATCCATCCATCCATCCATCCATCCATCCATTTTATTCCACTTATCAGAAGTTGGTTTCGGAGGCAGCACCCTAAGTCGAGAGGCCCAGACTTCCCTCTCCCCAGCCACTCGGGCCAGCTTTTCAGGGGGAATCCCAAGGTGTTTCCTGGCCAGGAAAACCTCCCTAGTCTGAAGCGCGGCAGAGTCTCTGTGGTGTTTATTAAATCTGTCAGCTTTGATTCAACCAGAATCAAAAACATCCAGATTAATTAAACAGTTCCAACGCCATCTTAAGTTCAGTTCTCAAGATCTCGTTCTCAAGATCCCATGAAGTTCACCGCATGTTAAGTGAAGTATTGGACCGGCCATCTGTACTTCTTTTTTTAAGCTGAGAACCATCAAGCTGGGAAAATTCTGTTGTTTTGTTACCAACCAAGCAACGGTACCTTTCAGAATAAAAGCTGAACTCGCTGACCCAAGGAGGGTCCCCTTTTTGATGCTGTGACAGTCTCTGGAGACTATCCAAAGACTGGGTTGTCGTACTGTCGACGCTGTTTAATCGGCTCCAGTACCAGAGGAGAGTCGTGGACCTGGCATCCGGATCTGTACGGAGGTCTCACTGAGGGTATGTGGATGCAACATAAATGGCGTCTCATGTGTTTATGACTACGAGTCTCAAACTCTGATCAGTTAGGAGCAAAACATCATCTCCCACTCAGACTTTGCTTCTCCAGATGTGAGGGTTCTGAATGACACTCATTCACAAGCACCAACCATCTCACACCTCATTCAAACAGAGCATCTATCATTAGAGAGTTAGTCTTGTTCAAATTGTTTAAAATTATTTAGTAATAAATTTCCTTAAACGTTTGAAGGTCTCTCTCTCTCTTCTCTTGTCTCTCAGTTAATACAAAGTGTTATCCAAATTCCTGCAATAAAAAGATCCAATCTTCTGATTTAAATAAGCCAGTGTCCAAAAGATGGAATTCATACTCGATATGAATTTTTAATGTCTTATGGTCCTTAATTAAATGTAATTAACACTTCATTACAGTGCCACACCAGGGCACAAAGTTCTGCTGAGAACCTTGCAAAAAGGCTTCTGGGAACATGCCATCTGACTGATGACATGCATTGCGATCTTGCCTCTGAGTCTACAGCCATAGTGGAGTACTGCAACCAGGATCACACTGTGTGATTTTTGGCCAATGCACAGGATTGTTTATGTCACACTGTGAGAATTCCAGAGAGGTGGCCCACTGTATGATTTCAGTGAGGCAGACTGCATGATGTCTCTCTCCAGCAGGACACGTATTGTCATGAGTGCACCTCCAAAAGCATACGTCACTAAGCAGACAGCTAACCAAAACAAAGTTGAAAAGACGAAAACACTTCTTTTTAGTGTCAATTCATGACCCAACTCATTTTCCTCAAAGAGGAGGCTTCATTTTAAATACGCTTGCTTTAGTGTCAGACTCCAGCTGTGGGCCTCCTTTTCCCATCTTCCAGCTAAAGAGCTGCTGTCAGCTGGTCATTCATCTGTCTCCTCCACTAAACTACAGAGAAATAACGATCTGTCACAGATTGCAGCAATATAACTTTTGCCGTGAATTTGCCACAGCTCCGCTCCGTGTGACAGCTTACACCTGCTGTCGCAGAGCTTCCTCTGTCCCTCTGCAGCAAAATGCTACTGAATCATCCTTATTGGTTGAACATGTGAGATTTCCACCAACAGCAAAGGTCCAAGGAGTTGAGGGGCTTGATCCCGGAGACATGGAATGTGGGGTGGATCCGTAGGGGTCTGGGGAGATGAAGGCAGACCGCTGCCGGATTGATGACCTTGGATATGGGGAAGGGGCCGATGAAACGAGGAGCCAGCTTGCAGCAGTCCACCCGCTGGGGTACATCCTTGGTCGACAGCCAGACCTGTTGCCCCAGACTGTAGACAGGGGCAGGAATCTGGTGGCAAATAGCCGAGCAGGAGTAAATGGCAGAGGTGCAAACGAGGTTCCTACGAGCAAACCTCCATGCGCCATGGCACCGGAGGGCAGCCGCCTGGGCCAAGGGGATCCTAGCTTCTCGGTCCTTCAGGGAGAAGATTGGAGGTTGAAAACCATAGATGGCATAAAACGGGGACACACCCGGGGAGCTTGATGGTAGAGATTTCAGGACGTGTTCCACCCATGGAAGGATACGGGCCCAAAATTTGGCATCATCCTTGCAGAGCAGGCGGCGCTTGGTTTCCAACTCCTGGTTGATCCTCTCAGATTGGTCGTTGATCTGAGAGTGAAAACCGGACGAGAGGCTCACTTGTATGCCCAAATGAAAACAGAACTCCTTCCAGAAGCCAGAGACAAACTGGGGTCCACTCTCAGAGACTATGTCCAAGGGCAATCCGTGGAGGCGGAAAATCTCCCAAGCCAGGATATCAGCCATGTCTTTAGCAGAGGGGAGTTTCCTGAGAGGAACCAGATAAGTTATTTTGGAAAAGCGATCTACGGTAGCGAGGATTACCTTGTGGCTGTCTGAAGGCGGGAGGCCTGTGATAAAATCCATACTGAGGTGAGACCAGGGAAGATGGGGTATGGGCAATCCTGCAGCTGGTCTGTGAGGCATCTTAG